ACATGGCACATTTCACTTTATTCAGTGGTCTTAGACTGATAAAATACTGTCTTTTCTTTTCTCACTTTGTGCTAGAGTCCATTGCCCAGCTACTTGTGCTTCCTTGTAATATGCCTCCTATATTATGTGGTTATGGTGGGTGAAATATTGCGGCTTTGAGAGGCCCAGGCCATGTAGTGAGTTAGTGGTTGAGCTCTTGTTGTTTTTCACGACTTCTGACTTCCAGTCTAAGGTTCTTAATATACCCATTCCTCCCTTACTAACATGGTTAGGTTCCAAAGACCAGGTCATTATGTGGAAATGGAGAATTTTTTTCTGTTTGGTTTTTAGACCATCCACTTTTCTGCTTTTTTTAATTTATAAAATATGATTATAGAAATACTAACAGCTAGGGTTTAATGATGTGCTCATCATTGTGACAAAGTTCAGTTATGGATTATTCGTCTGTGGAGAAGGAGGCTCAGAGTTGACAAAGCTGGATAAAGTGGGCTGTGTGATTGGAGAGCCCATGGCTTAACCACTTTACCTTCCACCTGTGCTGGTTTAGAGCTTCCCTCAAGGAGGCACCTTCAGTGCTGCACTCTCACCCCTATAAGCCCGCTGTTCACAGCCTGCTGTGTTCTTTGGGTCTGGTGAATCATGAGGCTTACGGCTGCCTGCGAGGGCACTGGGAGATTGATGATGCACTAGGCCCAAATGGCGCAGAGACTTCATGCCCAGTTTGGCTACCTTTGGGATGCCATGAATATCAGACACATTTCTTCCAAACACCCTTTCCAATGCCTCTTTATTTCTGCTGTTTTCTCCCTTCCCACTCTACAGCAGTTTTGAGCAAGCCTCAGGTCTTATAGGAACTAAGAATTCAGAATAGGCTGGCTTGATACTGCCTGCATGTCCACCTGGAGACCATGGCCACGGAGGAGGCTGGCCCCATGTAGCAGGCAGCTAAATGAAGCACTCCCACTGGAGGAGAGAATGGGGGTCCCAGAGCAGTTGTTACCCACCACCTCATTAAACACAAATAGTTGGATAGTAGATTTTTTATTATTGTTGTAAATGCAAAATGTCAGATAACAAGATAGTAAGTGAGGAGTAGGTATATTTGATACACCCATGTGCACTGACTGAGTCAGAGGTAGTTGTCCAAAAAATTGTATTTTCATTGATGAGAAATAAAGAGGAAAGGACACCCATATCCACTGGAAGAGTGGTCTTGATCTACTTCCTAGTGTCGTGCCATAGGTGTTTTCAACCCTGAATTAAAAGTTATTTTTGCAGGTGAGTCAGGAATTGTCCTTCACCTATACTTGCAACACACGTAAGAGAAACCAAACCAAGCTTTCTTTGTCACAATTTATTGGTTAGGAACCTGTGACTGTGATAAATTACTGAATTCTGCTACTCTAAATTAGGAAACAATGAGTTTGTTCCATCAACTTGATTCATTAGACAATATTCATTTCTTGTATCTCTGGAACCAGTGTGGACTGAATAGGAAACTATATTTCTGTTATCTCTGCTAATGGTGAAGAGCAGTGGTGCAGATAATCAAAATAAAATGATTTATAACTGTTCTGCAGGAACAAGTGCTATCACGGACAAATTTCCTGTAGTATAATAATGCCATTTAGAGCACAAAGTAGGTTCTTATGTAATTAATGATATTTTAATAAATTGTTTAAATTATTACTGCTGCTCTTGTAAAATATGTATAATCTATAAATACATGAATAGCAGTGAAAAACATTCATTTCAGGTGTTCATCATTTTAAAAAAAGATATAGAGAGTACATCTTGCTTTGTAAAGTAATGTTTGGTTCAAAAGTTGCCTATAAATAAACATTCTGCAGTTTACTACTTTAAGTGACCAAGGAAAATGCTCTAAAATTTTTTTGATGTGAGCCTCTTTTTAAAGAGATGTCACAACTAGGGGACACTACATGGTTTAAAATCAAGAAGGGAGTGCGTCAGGGTTGTATCCTTTCTCCACACTTATTCAATCTTTATGCTGAGCAAATAATCCGAGAAGCTGGACCATATGAAGAAAAACGTGGTATCAGGATTGGAGGAAGAATCAATCATTAACAACCTGTGAAACACTACAGCACAACTGTGCTTGCTGAAAGTGAGGATGACTTAAGGCACTTACTGATGAAGGTTGAAGAATACAGTCTGCAATATGGATTACATCTCAATATAAAGAAAACAAAAATCCTCACAACTGGACCAATGAGCAGCATCACAATAAATGGAGAGAAGATTGAGGTTGTCAAAGAATTCACGTTGCTTGGTTCTACATCGATGCCAATGGAAGCAGCAGTCAGGACATTAGACGACGTGTAGCATTGGGAAAGTCAACTGCGAAGGAACTGTTTCAAGTGCTGAGGAGCAAGGGTGTCTCCTTGAGGACTAAGGTGTGCCTGACACAAGCCATGATATGTCCAATCGCCTCGTATGCATGTGAGAGCTGGACAATGAATAAGGAAGACCGAAGATTTGATGCTTTTGAGTTGTGGTGCTGGCGGAGTATGCTGAAAGTACCATGGACTGCTAAAAGAACTAACAGATCTGTCCTGGAGGAAGTGCAGCCAGAATGCTCCTTGGAAGCAAGAATGGCCAGACTTCGTCTCACCTATTTTGGTCATGTTGTAAGAAGGGACCATTCCCTGGAGAAGGATGTCATGCTTGGTAGGGTGGAGGGTCGACGAAAGAGGGGGAGGCCTTCAACGAGATGGATTGATACGGTGGCTGCGATGATGGGCTCAAGTATAGCAGGGATTGTGGGGCTGGTGCGGGATCAGGCAGTGTTTCGTTCTGCTGTGCATGGGGTCACTATGAGTCAGAAACGACTCGACAGCACTTAACAACAACAACAACTAGTCTGTTGCTCACATTTTGGTCTATAGAATCATTTGTATTCTCAATGATTGTCGAGGGCTTGGCTTTAGTATGTTGTAGACGTTTCTTACTCATTTAAAATATCTGTATTTATTTATTTATTTATTTTTACTTCAGCTGCATGTTGATGTCTCATCTTGAGGAACCAAAAGCAACAGAAGATGAAGAACCACCCACAGAGCAGGATAAGAGGGAAAAAATGGTAAGTTATGAAAGTCACTTCTAAAATATAGGGAGAACCACATATCATTATATTCTATAAATTTGAAAATGTCTCTCAGTCTGTCTGTCTGTGCATATAGCTATCCATCCATTCCTTGTTGAAGAATTGATGTAAGGCATCTGGGTTTTGAAATTTGAGATGTATCCCTAGAACGGAAAATTTATATTCCTAGTGTAGAAAATTAAAGTTAACTCTGATCTGAAATAATTGTGTTTTACCTTAGCTGAGCAGAGGGTTAACTCTTAAAAACTTACAATTTAAGTAAGGCTTGAGTGTCACATGTTACTTACTCTTTTTTTAGATTTACTGGAATTTCTTATATTTAGTATTATTTCATGGATCTTCATAGCAACCCCTTCTGAAATACATCACAGACATTTATAAAAATGCCCTGAAATTAACCTAACTGCTGTATTGTTTTTCAAATCATTAATTCTCACTACAGGAATCCAATAAGAAGCAAGAACAAAAAAAAAAAAAAAATAGGTAAATACCTTGCCTTTAAAAATAATTAGCTAAAATACCTTGCCTTTAAAAATAATTTATAATTGTTTTGTTACTCTGTGCCGTGCTAATAGAAATACCACAGGTGAGATGGCTTTAACAAACAGGAATTTGTTCTCTTACAGTTTACAAGGCTAAAAGTCCAAGTTCAAAGTCCAAGTTGAACCAAACATTACTTTACAAAGCAAGTCCAAGTCCAGGCTTTAGAGGCTGTGTGAAAGCCCCTTGACTTTGGGCTTCAGCTCTGCCCTTTGCTCCTGGCCCGCTGAAGCTGTAGGCTTTTCTTCACTCAGGCAGCTGCTGGCTTCTGAGGCTGTCAAACCCAAGGTCAACAAGTAACAAGTCACAGCCCTGATACTACCAAACCACATAGTAGGCCATTGATTCAAGTCTAGGAAAAGCCCCAAGATTGGCAGGGCAGCATGGCAGGCTGCTGAACAGTGACTCTGCTACATGCATGGTTCAAGTGTGCCATACCCTGTAGACCATTCTCAAAGCTTCTCCTTATATACTGGAAGCAGACCATATCCCTAAAGCAGCTACTCAGCTGCTCATGGCAAATTCTACCATGGAGCAGATTGCCGGTCTTATCATGGGGCCTAACTACCACCAGCTGCCCAGCTTGAAACCAGGCCCAGCCAAGTTGACACACGACCTTAACTACCACAATAATCTTGAATGTGTAAGTGCTTTTGTGGACACATGGATATATTTAAACATAGATAAAAGGGATACATAAACTTTGTTCTTCTTTCTTGTTGGAATCTCTTCTAGTGGCTCCTGGCCTCACCACTTAACTGACTTCATTGGATCTTCTTTCTTCATTTGCAAAATGAAAACAATTGTATATACCTCATAGATAGAATATATGCATTAACATCCAAAGTGGCTATTAAATAATATTGGATACCTAGTAATTACTATTGTTAGCTATCATTATTGTAATTATATCATAATACTCCTTGCAGTTACTCACATTAACCCTCAGGAACTAAATCCTCAGTTTGTAGCTAATACTGCATTGATTTGATGGCCTTCTTTTACATTGTGTTTAACTCAGTTTACTTTGCTTTTATGCTAGAAATCATTTCCCTAGAAGCTAGTATAGAGGAAAGGACAATAACCAAGAAAGTCCTGTTTGTGCGATTAATTTTGACCCTGAGCAAGTCACTTTGTCTCTCTAGAGCTGTTTTCCTATCTGTGAAATGAGAAGGAAATTGGATTAGCATATCCCCAGGGCCTATCAGTTGACAAAGTATTTGATTTTGTAACTCTTAGTGCTCTCTCCTTCCTTTTCCCATGTGTAGTGTTCTGGTCAAGTATTCATATGTGAATAAACCTCCTGAAATATTTCTGCCTTGAAATGAGACTGTATGTGGTACCCTAAAATATATGAAAGCTTATAACAGTCTAAAAGTTTGTCTTTCCTCCATTCATTCTCATGTTTTTTAAGCATTGAGTATATTCTTGGTTTCACAAAAAGATAGACGTTTTCTTCATAAGATTCTGAACTTTTACATGAATAATAGATGTTCTACTTCTGTTCATTATCAGCTTCTGGTGTACACTTTATTAACATCAGTTAGTCTGATAGATCTACTCTTGAAAAATTAGTTTACCCAAATTTGTATGTAGGTTTTCATTCTCTATATATATCACAGGATCGGGCATTGTTTCATTCTGTTGTGCATGAGCTTGCAATAAGTCGGAACCAACTTGATGGTACCTAACAACATACCATCTTTGGTAGCATCCTGTAGTCATTAATTTTAATTTTAAATTTACTTTCAGCGTAAATGAAATATTGTCTCAAAGAAAAATATGATACTGGAATTTTAGAAATAACACGTTTCTGATTCACTTTAATGATCTAGAATTTTATTTGAGAGCTGGTTATTATTTTCATTCTAATTATAGGTAGTATTGAGTTTTAGAATAACTAATGTATTTTTTTTAAGTTACTAATTTCAATTTGATGTTAGTTATTGCAGTAGCTATTTGGTGACTATTGCACTGTCATATCTATTAAGGTTTCTAATCCTTTAGCCTGAAGGGATAAGCTGAAGACTTTTAATTAGTGTGCCAGTAGTTTATGATTGAAGCTGGGATTATTTATGTATCCTAGTCTTGAGTAAACCTAATTATAAATACAATTCTAATTTTTAAGTGAATTTAACAAAAATTAGTTTCACTATCTCTTTAGAGTTGTAAATATAAATTATGTAAATTTTTCTTAATTATATCATTTTTGTACTGTGATATCTAACATTAGAAATTTTTTGAAAACTATCTGGAGATGTCTCGTGCTGTTATTTCAATAGGAATGGGAGTATGTTTGATGGCAGCTGATTATTTTTTTGAAACAAAAATTCAACAGCAAAGGTTTTTTTCATTATAAAATGAATTTATTTATTTACTAGGATAAAAAAGTATACCTGCTTAATTCCAAGGTTACGTAAATGAACATTTTATTTACTGTCGTTGTGTGAAAGCAGTCCCTAAAATGTGGCATCTGGTTAAGCAGCTGCTTTGATGGAAGATAGCAGTGGTGATTTTAATCCAGAAGAGTGGATGACTAATACTATATTAAATGTGCCAAATAATTTTTCATAGTTTTCTGAGAATTTTGTATATTTATATTTCATGTTAAATAAAAATGAAGTTTTCTTTCAGGAAAACTGTTCATGCTGTACCAACTTTTTGAGCTTTTCTTTTTGTATCCAGCCCCTTTTTGTACCTTCCATTTAATTTCTAGGCCCCCTCTGTATCTAGTATATTCCTCTAGTATAATCATAATTTTGTGAACTTTTCTGTAAAGAATTAAGCAAATACCTTAAAATTTTAAGTTGTTTGTAATTTCTTTTTTATGGCTTGTGACTTACTAGGCATTTTAAAGTTGTGCTTTCTTTCCAACTTAAAGTTTTTGAACAGATTAATGTTTTCTGGCAACCTTATTGTACCTGCTAAAAAGCTTTATTAGTGACACAGTTGATACAATAAGTAAATCTGCATTAATAAGGTATATTTGATAATTTTTTCTTGTTATATAATTCTCATTTTAAGCCCTGGGAATATTTTGATAATCTGCTTTTATCAATAATAATTTTGTTCTCCACATAGTTGTTAGGTTATATAATTGATAGTGACAGTATAAGTAAGCTTGAACATTATTAAAAATATGCTGATGTCTCATTTACTTGTGCTGGTGGAAGCAATAACACAAACAATGCACAGTAGTCTATCCAGACATTACTTACATGAGATTGAAATAGTGCAAACAGCATCTTGTATATATAACAGGAAGGAGTCCCCAAGTGGAGCAAATAGTAAAGCACTCAACTACTAGGTGAGAGTTTGGTGGTTCAAATCCATCCATCCAGAGGCACATCAGAAGGTAGTCCCTAGGAGTCTGCTTCCAAAATGTCACAACCTTGACAACTCAGTGGAGAACTCGTGGGGTTGCCATGAGCCAGACTTGACTCAGTAACTGATAACAACATATATAACAGTGTTTATTTTTCAAAGCTGTGGGGTTATTTGAAACTCACAGCATTCAGACACTTAATAACATTTTCCATTTTTGAAAGCAGACCAATCAGATTTGCTTTGTACCTTAAAACAAATTGTGAGTTTGATGTTCATTTATATAAAATTGTAATGGTTACATAATCTCAGTCCTCTAAACAGAGAAATAGGAAAAAAAAAAACAACAAAAAAAAAACCATTTGCTTTTAAGATACCTAATCTGCAGTTCAGCCTTTCTAAAACTGGTGTTCTCAAAAAAACTCACTGCTGTTGAGTTGAACCCAACTCATGGTGACCCCTCCTTGGGTTTCCTTGGGGGTATCTCTACAGAAGTAGGTTGCCCAGTCTTCCTTCTGAGGAGTGGTTGGTGGGTTTGAACTACCAGACTTCTGGTTAGCAGTCAGATGCCTTAGGCATTATGCCACCAGAGCTCCTAAACTGATGTTACCAGTGAGTTTATTTATTTGAAGATGTATTATCCTTGGTGGAGGTTAGCAGTCCTCTGTTTCCTCTTCTCTCTTGAACTGGAGATGCCTGGTGTAGTGTTTCTTGAGATTAAAGCAACACAGACTAAACATCTTTTTATAAACACAAAGACATTACACATATTTTTATAAGCAGTCTACCTATATCATTTAAAAAATGAATTCTTCCTCACTTTTAAATGGTGTCTGATATGTTGCTCTTATACTCACATTACTAAATTAATCTTTTGGGATAAAATTTTGTTTAATCCATCCCTGTTTAGTTGTAAAGATTTCAAATGCTATTTTGGTGACAGTCATGTGCATTTTGTCTTCTGGGTTTTCTTCAGTCAGCATCAGTGTGAAATATTTAGAGAGTGCTCACATGGTCATAACAGTATCTTAGATGTTGTTTTTGTTGTTGTTGTTACTTGATATCAAGTCAGCTCTGATTCCTGGCAACCCCATACACAAGAGACTGAAATG